GCCCTAAAGCCCTAATCCATAAACCTTAAACCCTAAATCACCAAACCCTAAGAACGCCTATCAACTCGTAAGACGGAACCTTAAACCCAAGGTCCGAACGCTGGCCCCGAACATTTTCCCCAACGGTTTCCTGGGTCCTACTTGCGCGTCCCTAGTTAGACTTCTAGGGTTTTATTGTGTATGTAATAGGCATATGACTGTATCTATATACCTAACTTAAATACGTGTATATCCATAATTACATGTTCCTACATTGGGAAGCCCCGCCAGCCGAGGCGGGCGCGCGCTAGCGTTTACAATATTATACCAGTATCCATGTCATGTTTCAGGTGATTCTACATTGGAATAATAGCCCCTACATAACTGTGCAATCAGGACTGACTCAGCAAGCGCTGTGCTGCAAGAGCATTCAACAACAAGACATCTGCGGCATTGAGTTCCGCAGGAGAAACGAGCAAATCCCCGGAGTAGTCAAGTGGTCCGACATTTTGTCTCTTTTGATGGGAGGAGAAATTAGGATGCATCAGCAGCATGAAGCAAAGCCAAACACACCGATAAATATTATGGACTTGAGCTTTATTTAGCTTGCGTCAGGAGAACGCAGGTGAGTAACCCACGATGCCATGCTGTAGCTCTTGGTCAGTGGGTTAATCACGCAGATTTGCCGTCCAGCACGGCACAGTTGTTCGAGCTCCCGGCCGTCTATGAAACACTGTCTGTGGCAAGGCTTGTTTGCGTCTTGATGAACCAAAGTTGGGGCAGCATACCTCTCAAGTTCAACCTATGTAATAATGTAACATACCGTTAAACTGGCCAACACAGACCCCAAAGCTCCCCGGGTTCGCACAACTCCAGAAGCCTCAATCACAGATTCAAGCTCTTGGTCACTGAGGCACTTCCTTTGAAAAAGCTAGGAAAGGATGGTCAACGTAGGGCCAAACCAATATTGGAATCTTGCCTTATCGTTGGCAAGCGTCGTCTGATTTGCCGTTTGTACACCGTGGCACTGCTTGAAACATTTTGTAGGATCTGGAGCTTGGCCCGTTGGCAATTTGACTTACACATCAAAATCCATTTTCTTGGCATAGGTGGAATTCTGAGGAGAATGTATAAGCGGGGGGGGGTCCCTCTGCAGGATTGGAAAAACACATTTTGAGCCACTCTCACTTTCGAAATCGATCTCATGGCTGCGCCACTAGGAAGCCCAGCTTCCTTGCAATGCTCCACCTTCTGGAAGAGAATTAAATAGAATTAACGTATCAGCATCTCTCTTCTTTCTAAGAGCAGAGGCGGCGTCTGCGCGCAGAATCCAGTAAATGTAACAATCCACAACTCTGGTTAGCCTGTACAACATCATTCTACAGCAGTCCGACTCTGATTGGTAGGTAAGGGTTTCTCAAACTAACCAAATCGTTGTATCACATCGTGGCTGCAAACAAAAGCTGCTTGTGCCAGGACCCTACGCATTTGCTGGGCTGCCAACACGAAAAACAGTTCTCCGTCGCTTTTCCGGAAACATCTTTGCTTCCCGAAGAACATTCTCCACAGCCATGGTGATCTGCAGAAAATGTATGAAGGGCAAGCCAGCAATATGCAAAAATAGAGGAGCATCGCGCGCCTGGCGGGCTTCCCGATTTTCGGGATGAGCCACTGGTGCAAATCTCAGCGTGTCCAACCTCAAGCGGTCTTTGCAAGCGATGCCAACGATTCTACATGATTCGAGTTGACGAGTTTGCTACAGATCCGATGGGACCCGGCGTGTACTTCTGCTCCACGCTCAAACGATCCATCTTCCAGTCAGCCTTCAAGCCATCTTTGATTGACATCTTCTGCTGCCGTGTCAGACTGGATTCACAATTGCTATATCTGCTATCTATTTTCGTGCACGTCAGGAATGCTGAAGCGTCAAGCTTCTGGCGAGACGTTTGGTTGCCCATGCCTTAGCACGCGAGCTATGGATAGATGCCGGACATGAAGCATCTGATCACATTGCTGTTCGCCAAGGCACGCCCAGAGGAAATCCATCCGCAGTGAAATGTCCAGGAGGGACCTCAAGTGTCTGCAAGCGCTTTTCGGATGGTATTCTTGCAGTTGTTGAGCGGCCGCACGTAAGGGTCGCCCCCGTTCTCCTGCTGCAGCTCTCTTGGTCAAGAGTCAGGAAGTATCTCTGTCCTGATTGACCTGACCCTTGCCCTCAGAAAGCTCCTCAACATGTTGCTCGAAAGCGGCTAGCCCTTCTGAGAAGCTTCTCGCATCCTGAACATGATTGATGCCACCCTCATGCGCAAGTAACGCGCAGCTAGTTGATTACCAAGCACCGTTCTATACCGTTCTGGTATGTTCTGGTGTTCTACATTTTACAGCGTATAATATCTGTACAGGACTGGGAAAGCCGGCACAACGGTAACATTCAAGGGGATGCAGACTATGCAGGCCTCTCTATCCACATCTAGCCCACGCTTCATCAGCAGCTGCTTTCTTTGGTCGCTTAGGGTCCCAGATCCTGAACTATAATCAGGGGCGGAACATGGCAGAACCATGCATGACTCACGTATGCATCATGCAGGGAAGTCGGATAGGACGCGGACGCCACTCCAAAAACTGCTGCGCAACCCACCGACCTTTCAGTAGCTCGTTTTGGCATACCAGCTGCTATCTAGCATCCAGTTCTCTGCGAGCACCTACTGGCTGCCCATGAATTGTGGCATCGATTGGCACGTGGTCCTGATCCTGCACGTGCGGTAGAAGGTTGCGGGAACCAATCCATTGCATGCTTGCATGCTTGCTGTCCTCCGCGGACTCCTTGTAAGCCATGAGATGGCCGAACATGAGGTCCCAGCCTGGAATGTATAGCCGCGAGCTGCGCGCGAATCTGGTGTCTCGAAGCAGCGGAAGACTGGAAGGCCCGGCTGTCTGCCGCCGAAACCACGGCTTCATTTATGACCTGCGTGCGCTTTCGGCATTCGACTGGGCAGCTGAGTTTTGTTCAGTGCGCAGTGGCCTTCAGCAGGCTGACCTGTGATCACCAGCTAGGCACAAAATGCATGCGAAGTGCAGGCAAACGCCTTGGTCGACTTGCCAGAGATCTCTACCACTTCCCCAAGTGCAGACGGCAAGTCCTGGGCAAGTTTCAAACAGCTCAGGAGCGCAGCCGAACTCAAGTTGTCTCCTCCCACTGCAGCGGTCTGCCAAGGTGTCCTTGGACCTGCAAATCAAAGCTGCGAAGGTAGGGGACCCCCAGTGGATTGAGGCAGCGGCTACAGCGGCACGCTGCAATGCTTCCTGGATGGAGGAATCATGCCTCAGGCACAAACTGGCAACTTTGCTTTCGGCACAGCGTTCCCATATCCTCTCTACGGTGCTGCCGACAAGTTGCTGCGCCAGCGCTCGCCAGGCTGCTGCAGGAGCCTCAAGAGGTACAAAGACAATGCTACAGATCAGAACCTGCACGAGAGCTTCGCTCTGAGCGCTTTTTGCCTGCAAACCCTGCGCGGTTAGGCTACGATCCAAACAGACATCTCAGCCCAGCAGGAAGTTCGCCGCCTCCTGGGGCAAATGCAGAGTGCAGACAGCAGCGATGCATAGATTTTATTGCTGAACCAGCACTTTGGTATGCTTGGAGGTAGAAGTGCAGCTGGGCTTTGTGTATATGTGCCTCTGCGTTGCCACCGGCAGCTTCCAATGCAGACTTTGCTGCATCTGCATCGAATCCCAGAGCCATCAACTGCGCCACTGCCTACGGAGTCTGCAGTGCAGATTCCCAACCAAATGGCCAACATGCAAGATGGGAGCACTTCAGACATGACAATGTGCTGGTGTCGTCAGGAAAGCTTACTTTAGAACAGTCTCCTGTAGTAGTCCTCAGTGTGAATTGATGTGAATTGCAGCTTGGAATCATGGAAGTATATCATGCAGTATACCCTGTTGACATGCAGAAGGATGGAAGGCCAACGCAGGGGCTGAAGGCCTCCTCTGATATGGCGCTCGGCACGCCCTCTGCGAATTCCTTGGCTTCATAGCTCACTGTGCCTTGCATACAGCATCGTGCAACACTGCAGTCTGCACCTCATACTGGATGAGCAACACACATCTAAAGACTGCGGTCTCGCGTCTCCAGGCTTGCACAAGGCCATCCTTGGGCATGGAGGGGAACCAACGACTCAGCACTCCTTCCACAGCACCAAACAAAACCAGCTTCTGAATAGCACTCCAAAAGGCATGTTGAAGCGCATCGGGTCTGGCGACACATTCATGTACCGTTCGCCTGCTCTCCAGGGAGGCACAGGATTCTGGTATATAGATTAAGCCAGAGTGACTTCGGCTTGCGGCAGGTAGGAAGGTGGGTACGCGAGTAAGCAATTCGCTAAGCTTCAGCAGGCTGGTCCCGGGAGACGGTCGAGCATGCAAGTAAGAACGCAAGCAGGCAGGAAGGATCCCTGCGCGAGCAGGCAAGCCACGCCGAACCAAACCTGACTACAGCTGAAGAAAAGCAAGCAGAACCCCAAACGGACATGCAGCTTAGTCGCCGATTGGGAACGCAAATAGGCAAGCTGGCCAACAACCGAGAAAGAGCCGGTCAGGATTTGGATGGCTCACTTCTGAACCATTGATCAAGTTTTAGCTTCAAATACGGGCTTCCTAAGAACGTGGGTAGATGAAAGTGCAAAAGACATACTGTCATACTGCGGCTGCAAAAACATGCAAAAACCCAGACTTCAAGGAAATCAGCGCGTGTGGGTCCAAAACTAATAAACATACAAATCATCAGGATCTGTTTTTCTTGTGTACAAAGCAGGGTCCCATATGAACAAACACCCCAAAACCAAATACTGAGCACATGTATTGACAGGAGACTGGGTTGGAAGCGAAACACCCCGGCCGAGTGGCGAATGACAACTACGGCTGCACGGAGAAAATCGCCACCATAGTCACCCAGCTTTCCGCGGACGATAGGCTTGTCCTTGCAGCCATCTAGCCTGCGACAGTGAGATCAGATGATCATGGAAGTCACGGATTGCTCTCCCAATGCCAATGACCGTCTTGCTCCAGCTTTCCGAGCGGCTCCACTACCAAGCCGTCGATGCACACGAACACGATGAAATGCAGATCTTTGTTTGTAGCCTCAGCTTTCTTGAAGAGCCCTCGTGATGTTTGGTTCAGCCAAGTCTTGTCTCTTGGCGTTCTAGTCGACTCCTTGGCTGAGAAGCAGCCAAGACACATGCCCATGAGAAGCTTCGCCTTGGCAGGTTCAGCCATCAGCAGTCGCTAGCATTCGTTCCAGCAAGAACTAGTCAATCGGCACGCGGTTGGATTCCAAGCCAATCGCTTTCTCGTTCTGCTTCATCATGCGCAGCTTCAATTGCAACATCTTCCTCCAGCATGGTGCCCAGGTCTTCGCTGGTCATGCCATCCTCATCGCATGCAAGCTGAGAGCATGGCGTTGCAGAAAAAGGAACCAACCATCGGAGACCTTGTAGTTTGCCAGGAAACGCTCCAGCCAAGATCCTGCAGCCATGGCTCGCAACGTGTCGCAGTCCATCTTGCAAATGACTCACAAGACACCTCTTACGAGCACGATGCCGGACTATCAGAAATGTGTACTTACAGGCGGTGTCTCTAACAATGCACCTGCTCAGCAACCGTAGATCTACTGCAGTCCTTGAGTTGCAATGGCCCCAGAATGTTTGCAGAGGTTGGCCATGGCGTGCACGACGGCGATGGTCCCACACGCATTTCCCACGAGCTGTTTCCTCTGCACGGCTGGCAGCTGATAGACAACTCTCTCTCCATTGTTGATGCTGCAGTGCGGTCTGGCGTCATGTGAATTACTCCCGTGGGCGGAGTGGCGGTCGCCTTTGCTGCGTAGATCCCTTTAACTCAGTCACAAAATGTGGTCAATGACAGCGAGCCCCCAATTTACGGGAGGCGAAAATGACTTGAAATGGACCTTTGATAAGCATCGCAAAACAGTACCAGTCCCAAAATCGGCTGGCAGAAAGGCTCTCGGCTTCTTGCGCTGCTGCAAGCTCCTTTCCTGACCAAGCTCAGGCACAGCGCATGGCGTCTTAACAAACGATTCTTGAAGAGCTGTAGCCACATGTAGCCACAACTTGCCTTGAGGAAATAGGAGAAAGACAGCCCCTGCTGGCCGAGGTATCATCCTCACCAGCATCTGCAACAAAGAAAACGTACCATAGCTGCTAGGGCTGGAGTCCCGTCCACCTCCAGCCTGATATTCTGAGCAATTTATCCTTGACCTCGCTAATTAGATGGCCCTTCCTGCTGCAGTGTAACCTTTTCCGCTACTTCCTTCCCGATGTCAGGGATCAGTTTCAGGCTGGTGGTTTTGTGCTGCAAGCAAGTTGCAAAGCTCTCAAACAGTGTCTTCACAACCAATACCGCTGATTTTGAGAAACTCCTGAAGGCCTAGTAGTGTCACCTTAAGGATTCAACATGATTTCCCACGGTGCCGTCCGCGTGTGATTCTGGCTCGCACTTTGTGTCTTTGAGGGGCCAATACGGCCCCCCGCTGAGAAGAAACTCGAATTTCCAGAACCTGAGCCTCTGAACTTTGCATAAAACTTTCAAGCACAGAAAGCATGAGCTGTGCATGCAGCATCGTGAGCACAGATGGTACGCAAAGCACGCCTGCTAGAGTGAAATAACAAGTCTTTCCCCTTCACTCGGGAACAGCTGAATGATTGAAGAGGACTCACTGCCAGGGTCGAGCGTCTAGAGATCTCGGTCTTGGGACGTGAAGGAATGGGCATGCACATCGTCCCAGCTCTTCTGGTCACACCGTGCGCGGGGTTTGCTGTTTCTGGGAATACCACGGGCAAGCCACAGGGAAAGTTGCAAGCTTCCGGTAAGAAATCTCCAAAAGTGGCGTGCGGCCATGAAACTCAAAACATCCAAAAACACGATTTCCCCGCGCAACATGCGTGACAAACCTTCATGGAAGCCAACTTGCCGAGGACGGATGCTGCAAAATAGATGTCACACACTCCACCCCTACGATGACCTCGAAGTAGACATAGCACGAGAAACATTTTGCTTAGCCGAGCTTCTCAAGTGCCCAAGGCTCGAGTGACAGCAGCTCATGCACCTCATACTGGCTGTCGAAACCCAGCTTTTTCACATATTTGCCAACCTTACAGCGACAGGAGGTGGCACTATAGGCTTCTGCGCGGAGGTAATGTGGCCTACAGCACTTGAGCTCGCTTCAGCAAAGTAACCACCTTTGGGTTGGATTCAAGAGGCATCCATCTCTTTCGTTTCTTCGCCTGCCGGCCAATTTTTTGCTTCATTGTCTGACCTTTCAGCCATTCGGTAGCTTCTGTGCCTTGGTAGGCTCGGTGGGTCCTGCTGCTTCTCGACCATCAGCCTCAAGCACGAGCTTATCTTTGCGACACACAGCTTGCAGCTCAGCAGTGAGCGCTGCGCCATTGACGTGATCTTGACAGACGGTGGTCGCACAGGCACTGTATGATCTCAATTTGTTTGGTGTACAGAGTATGTACAGCCTCTTGGAGTCAAAAGATACGTGTAGGCATGCTTGACTGAATTTGAATTGTGGTACAAATCCGCTTGATTGCCTCGCTTCTCTCTGATCTTCATGTCTTGAGCTGAACGGGTTGCAGCCCCCAGTCATGCAGATGCATAGAATGTCAATGACAAATGACCGATCTGTCTTGATCTTTGTTTTCTTCTTCGTAGCTACGCAAGATGCTCGGTCAAGCAGCAGCAATTCGAGCGACAGCCTTCAGTTGGCCCACGTGTTGCCACATGTGGGCCAGATAGGGGCTGTCGCTGGAATTTCCAGAAACTCGAGGCAGGCAGCTCTGCTCTTGGCAAACCGCTCGGAGACTTGAGCAGTTTTTGGTCCGAACAACATCGAATCACTACCTTGGTGCGGGCTGCAGCGCAAGTGGTTGACATTGACTTGCAATTGCAACAACATGCGTAGTGCAGGTACAAGAAAGAGTGCGCTGGTTTCACATGGGTCCAAAACAAGTCAGAGATCAATTAGCGAACCTCAGGCGATCCATGCGGCAGATTTAATTATCCCTTCAACCCACAGGCATGAACAAAGAATATTTCTTAATAAGCACAAGTTAGCGACGAAGCCCGCAGCTCCGTACATTTGAGGAAGGCATAAAAGTATTGTTTGTGAGCTTAATGCCGGAACTTTGACTTGACATCCTCCTCACAAAGTTATCGCGGGTCGATGAGCCATGTCCAATAACGTCAGTTACTCTGGTTCGCAGTGGCAGCTATCCTGGGCGTGAGGTTGAGAAAAGCGTTTTGCCTTGACGTAAAGCATCGTAAAGCTGTAAACGCCATGTAAAAGGTGTTCAGTGTTGGGCTTGCTGTAAGCACAGTCTTCGACTGTTGTGCCTGGTCTTTTGATGTTTCATCAGATGCTTTGAAGGTGTGTATTAGGAGGCGGCTTGCGATCCACAAACCGCTCAAGAGTCACGAGAGGGCAGGGAGATGGTTCGATTCCAGGCTCTGAAGGCATGGACAGCACCATCGTGTGAGCTCTGAGTGACATGCAGATGTGTAGTTAAAGCTATGTCACTGAAAGCTCCATTCGCTGCATCACCACGCGGCTTTTTGGATGCCCAGACGGAATCATTGCTTCAGCTTGAGGCAATTACTCCTGCTACCCGGACCTCTTCTGGCATCCTTTGCTCATCAATTCACACATGCTGTAGCGCGAGGTCTGGGCCCCTAGTGAGGAGGGACGGTGAAACAGCATGAGTTGTCCCGGATGAGGTGACACACAATTGGTGATACAGGTGACACATAATACGGTGAAGGAGCCAAAGATGTTCATAACAGCAGAAGTCATAAATGCAATTGCACTGGCGACGATAGCATCTGCAATGGCCCTCTTGCGATGCAAGAATGTTGCTTACTGGTTCTTAGTAGGGAATAAGGGAATATAATCCCCATATAATACATTCCCCTACTCCCTTCTAAGAAGCAGTAAGAAGAAATTATCGTGGCTGGCCCCTTCTTGCCTACTTTGGCAGTCTTCCACCATTTTCCTGCAGCTTTGGGCCTGGAGAGCCGGCATCTCAAAACAAGCCCTTGGCGTTGGAGGCTCTGGCCTTGCCACTTGCTTACTGGCTTTTAGGGTTTAGGGTTTAGGGTTCAGGGTTTAGAGTTTAGGGTTTAGGGTTCAGGGTTTAGGATACATGGGGTTTAGGGCCTAGGGTTCAGGGTTAGTAGGGAATAAGGGGAATATATTGGGGATATATAGGGATCATGGAAAGATTGGAACAGAAAATGGAAACTACTACTTTAGACTAGGGCATATATTAGGGCTATAGTCGGGAATGATGAGGGAATATGCTATATGGGGATTAAGGGATTATACTCCCCTTCCCTACTAGCAACCAGAATTGCTCAGTATGGTTGTATCCCACTATCCGGCTGTGGAGTTCACGGAAGCTGTTCTGGTGGAACTCAACACCCGCAAATAACAATCGATCAATGAAAGAAGCAGGCAGCTATCCAAACCTATCAGTCCATGAGCCTCCAGTTGGCTGAGGGATGTGGAACATCCCAAGGGAGTTCGCCGCTGTGAACCTGACAGGGCTCCCTGATTGCGAGACTCTGCGGCAAGCTATTGCGAGCTACCAGGGCCAGTGAACGCTTCAGACTTGAATTTATTGGACCCTGCATGTTTGCTTGTTTAACAAATTCCTTGCTTCAAACATGTCATGATATGTCATGGAAAAGCTGCAAGGATGAAAACGACTGTACATACCGTCGGCAGCCTGTCATCAGTCGGCCCGCAGAGACGGTCGAGCCAGCTCTGGAAGGTGGCAAAGCATCGTTAAGCGACACCTGTCCGGGAAGGGTAGATGTCTACCACTGCTGCAGATTTATCTTCTGGAAAGAAACTGCCTGGGAGGCTGTCTTTGTGGCAACCTTGCTATGGTTGTCCTGAGTCATCGCATGGTGTTGCTTCTGACCGCTCTTCCGTTGGCAAGCTACAGTATGTACTGCCCGACAAATGAGTCTTTAGCAAAGCTTTCCTACCACACCTGTCTGCTGCCAGGCATCGATCGCCTTCCAGATATTTTTCATTCGTATGTCGGCATTCCACGCCGTTGCCAGTGCCTCCTTGTCATAAGCTTTTTTTGCGCCTGAAAATCACGGGCTGCCCCAATTGCTCAGATGCTTGAGTGGTGTGCATTTGGCATCGCTACAAAGTCTGGCCAAGTATGGCCAAGTGACGCTCTGCATCGCGCAGCATTGCTAGCTCCTCGCGATTCGCCTGACAGGCTTGCAGTGCGCTGCAACGAGCCACTTACCCCAGGCATTGACAACAGTATGAAGTCTGTAAAGCGTTGGGCTATTCCATGCCCTTCATTCAGCTTTGGGGTTCACTGCCTGAAGCTGGTTTAACTCCAAAGCCAGATCCTTCTGCTTCGCGAGGTTTCCTTGGATTTCAGATACGTCAGCCTGTACGCTTGCATCTCTCCCGCTGGTCTCCTAGACTTCAAGTCCAGCCAAGTTAAGTTGCGAAGGGTGTTGTTCGTCCTAACCTGCTCGTCCAGAGCTTGTCGCACCTTTGCCTGCTCCAGCTAACAATGAATGCGCATCATCTCAGAGCATTCAGCAGAGACTGCAGGCCCAGGGGAGATGCGCACTCAGGAGGCAGAAGGACTGGCTGGCCTGCTGCCCTTTGATGAAATCTTTCATCTCATTGGGATGGACTTCTGAGAAGGATGGAAAGTCGTGCGCTGACGCCGCTTCGATGTCGTCCTTCCTACAGCAGCGGGCAATTCGCGAAGTCTGCGATAGAGGCTGCAGTCCAGGCCTCTGCTCTTTTCGCTTGTGTTCACCCAGTGCCATCTGATGCTTCAGGAACTGCAGGTTCATATTGTTCCTCGCGTCATCAGCAACATACTATCCTCTCCAAGCACCTGCAAAACATCATTTGCAGCTGCATCCTTTCTTTGCGCGCTTGGATCTCCTCTCGTTCTTGCAGTAAGCACTCCTCAGGTGCGGCAGGCTTACAAGCAGCATACTCGCTGTGGTTGAGGTGCTGCATGGTATTGTGAATGGCTCGCGCTGGAGATGGCTGCTTTGAGAAGGCCAATGTGCAAACCAAGCAGCGCTGACATGGCTGTCCCATGCCTCCTGCAGAGCGCGCAGGACTCTACGCTTGACAGAGATGAGGCAGCAACTAGTACACTTTAGAGTGACATGTTTGGTGACAGCAGAGTGAAAATGCATGTTCAATTCTCGCTGGTGAGACCCGTTTGTTGTGCGGTTTTGTTGCTCTTAGAAGCTGAATATGGGGATCCCTCTGAACTGAGTACCCCCGTGGCCAATCCCCAGCTATTGCCGGGTCGCATGTGTTTGAAAGTAACCTTGTGTGATGCCGCTTCCAGCGCAGCACTTGATTCTTGCTTGCTGCCAGCATTTTCTACGGCTTGCCAGTGAAGCTGAGTTTTGATATGGAACCTACTCTCCACACCATGAGTGTGCAGCACCACCCTGTGCTGGGCAACGACACGAGTCTCACTGCCAACTCATGCGGATCTGCAAGTGCGCGTGCTGCTAGAACAGCAAACTGTCTTCATGGCCCAGATAGGAGATCCTAAAGCCTTCCTGATCCGGAGCTGGTGCACAACAAAAAGAACGTATTTTTCTTGAAGCAAGCTCCTTCTCCGCCACCGCTTCAACAGCATGAGCCTGCGAGTCTGAGGAGGAAGATATGCCCGAAAATGCCCGAGTCAGCTCAGAGTGTACTGAATTGTACTGAACAATGAGGCATGTCGCAATGCCATCTTGATGTTGGCCGTGCCTTGCCTCCATGGCAGCAATGTGCCTGTCCATTGCTTCTTTGAAGGCAATCTCTTTCCTTTGCTCTTGATGCAAAGCTGGGGCGCTACGGTACTGTGCAGTACTGACACATACCCAAGCTTATATTCGGTTGATATGCCTAGTGCATCCTGGAGGCTTGAACTGTGTGCCCGTAAGTCCGGGTGTACTTTCTGACTTTTGCAGGTGTTGAGGATCTTCGCCTGAGATACAACATCAATTGATGAGTTGGTGGGTTGGTGTGGTACCCCTGCATTCAAACCTGTAGCGCCAGGTCCCACGCCAACCGTTGGCATTGCCCTCTGCGCGCCACCATCGAAACCTTGCACATCCGACCTGTTCAGAAGCAGATGGCAGACGGCCGCGCAGCCACAGTAGCATCAGTATGAATGCCAAGAAGGACCGGCAAGCAGGGGTCCAAGAACTGCTATAAGTCTATAAGCCTGAAAAGAAATACAAGCTGGTTTCCTTGAGTTTGATGTGGGCGTTTGATGTAGGCTTCCTGATTACCACCCACCCTTTCGCTTCTGAAATACCTGGTGGTCTCAGGTACTGAATCTGAAGGCCTTCAATTAGTTTGCCTGTCCTCCGCCTCGGACTAGCCTCCCGTCTCCTTTCAGCCCTCTTTTCTTCCGTGCTGGTTGGATGACAGGCAAGGCTACCAAAAAAGCAGGCAGCATAAGCGCCCTTCCATCGACGTGTCAAGGATCTGGTGGCATAAATGCAAGAGCTTGCAACCAAGGTGCATCATCATCGTGGGCTGGTCGTCCACCGTTCCTGGCCGAAGTCTTGCACAGACTCCCAATGCACACGCGTCAAGTTACGGTCTTGCACGCCTGAGCTGGCGTGCACGCCCAAGCTCGCAGCCTGCACTTCCAACTGTGTCGCTCAGTGTTTGTTTTCACTTTAGTAGATCTTCGTCTCTCTGTGGCATTTGAGTCCTACTTATCTTGCTGTTCTTGTTGCTGTCCAGGCCTCCGCGGAGATCTCCTTGCGGAAGCTGGGGGCAGAGCCACCCTGACCTCCTTGTGAAGGCGCGGTGAGACCCTCCTGTTGCCAGCCAGCAGTTCTGGGAGACTTCTGCCTCTGAATTGCAAGCATGCAGTCCTGTCTGTAGAACTCTTGGGCGAACAGGAATCGAAGCTCTCGATCTTTGCTCATGAACCTCTCTTCGTGAGCATCCGCACTCATCAGGCTTTCACATGAAAATCAGGAAGATGCCTACCGACGTCGCCAAAAGCCAGGTCCAGCTCCCTCATGCAACACTTGCTGAGAAGATCTGTACTGCATGAAAGGCAAGAGAAAATGAAGCTTACTAGGTGGGTAGCCCGCCTACCATCGGCGACGCTCTCGCCAATACGCTGAACCAGCGCTCGGAGCATAGTAAAAACCTGGGGCCAAGAATGGTGCACAGGGGAGGTGGAGGCAGAGCCTAAACAACTAAAGTCCGCCTGGTCCTTGGTCAGGTTTGAGAACTTCAAGGCAGCCTCCGGGAAAACGCAGGACACGTAACAAACTCCAATCATCTGCAGATCCTGAATGAGCCTGGCCTTGCTGAAGTTGAAGTCTTCAAAGGGACACAAGTCATTTGCGGGGGTTTTGCGCGACTCGGACACGTAGGCACGGTTGAACCTGCTCATGTTTGACACTGCTTGACAGGTAGTCGTGCACCCGTTAATCGCACGAAGCAGGAAGTAAATGGTACAGTACTTGTAGCAAAGCCAGGCAGCGAATCGGAGAACTGCGAATACGGTCGATACGTCGTCTTGCCTGCCCATGACTGCAGCCCGAAGGCGCCACGACCACGGCACACAGGCCCAGGCCTAGCTTTTTCTGCTGGGCCCAGCCCAGCTTGCAAAAGCTGCTAAGCTGCAGCCCTCGCCTGGCTTTGATTTTTGTACTTGGGATGTGAAGGGAAAAGGCCAACATGTGCCATGTGCATTACGGCGTTTTTTTAACAACACAAAGCGGTTTCGCCTCTGCTCAAGGCATGACCTGACGTATGCCGCATAGGCTGACCAGGCCTTTGGTTGCGTCATGTTCTGGCGTGTGCTGAGTCTTAGCAGAAAAGCTTGCTGGTTAAAAACAAGCACTCGCAATTGGTTGAAGTAAAGCCTCCTGGTACTCCCGTGCAGATTCACTGCCCTCCTGCCGGGGTCTTCGCATCATATACTCACATGGTAACAAAGCTCCAACACCAAACAACTGGAATGCATTCGAATGCCGTGCTCAGCGTCTCCTTTGTACCGAGCCTGCCTCGCCTCTGGATGATGTCTTGGACAAGTCCATCAAAGGTGAGCATGCCCTCAACATTTGCATCACGCACGCACAAGATCATGGCGTGAATGCGAACTTCTGGCGCAACACGGAGCATCAATCAAGGAAGCCAAGTTACTGCAATTCCCGTAGGAATGTCCGCCTATTTTGAATGGACATCCAGCTCGAGCCAAAGTCGCCACAGCAAGTTGTGTGCAGGAGCTACTTAATGCCCCTCAGTTTTAGTCGATTGTTGTGAGGCCCGCGAAAACTCGAAAGCTGCTATCTTCTTCGTAGTTTCAAAACTCTGGCTTCGAGGGAATGGTGTGGAGGAATATTGGAGGACACACCGCTTAGCTCAAGCGGACTCACGGTGTTTTAAGATGCATTGAACATCATAAGGGTAAGGTGGCAAGGCAACGTCCTAATGCGGCTCCCCCTTTAGTACAGCCCCCCCCAAACATTTGACGACGCTTTATAATACCCCCCACCCCCCAAATTTTCCGTGCAATTTCGATAAAAACATGAGTCTCGGTAGTAGCCTTGAAGCTGGTATTCTTTTTCATATTAGTGTTAGTACTGGCACTACCATTAGTATTAATTTCTAATTAAAGCCTTATTATACCCATTGGAAATTCAAAACTAATAAAAAGCTACCTTCGTGCAACTAAAATCTAATTAAATCAGTTGAAACCGGAATTCGCCGCGTTCACGGATTCTTGCATTTGCTAGTATCTGGCCTTATAGCCACAGGCTCTGGGCCTCTTACATTTAAATGGATTTGGTTAGAATCATGTATTCTTTCAGGCCTTGGGCCTTAATTAAATGAATGTACTTAAAATCCCTTATTCTTTGAGGCCTTAGGCCTTTCAGTTTTAGATATACATGTTTTATGAAAATCCTTTATTCTTTGGGGCCTGGGGCCTTTAAATTCAAATAGGTTTAATTAAAAACCCGTTATTCTTTGAGGCCTTGGGCCTTTCAAATTTGAATGGATTGAATTGAACTCCTTCATTCTTTGAAGCCTTGGTGGGCCTTTTAAATCTGAATAAAATTTATGGAAAGTTTGGCTGGAGAAGTGATTACTATTCCGAACCCCGAAAACAACAATTGCTTATTGAGGATCCGGGCCTCTGCTGGACTTCCTCCCACGAAAATTGATGGGCCCTATGATTTCTAACAATCCTGAAAAAGCGGTTTATATAGATCTGGTTGCTCTGAGTTTATGAATTGTTGGCTTTTCTAATATCAGGCCTTATAGGTAAAGGCTCCAGTGCTAGAGCTCAGGAATAAAAATCCTTTAAGGATGTTAATCCTGGAAAGCAAACCGGACTTAGGCAAGAAGCTTTGATATTTTTGCATTTTGGCACCGCAAAATCTATTATTCCGAAGCCCCGAACAAGAGCAGATTCTGAATAATTTCCCCGGAAAATTATCATTCAGAGCCCGTCTACCAAAGGCCGTGCAACATTACGCAGCATTTGGAGAAGCCACTGCAGATCCCTTCCAATAAAATCTGTCTGCATACATAGCATTTTCGAGAAACATCCAGAAGCAGAACTTCAGATGCTAAGCCCTCTGCAACGCAAATGGCGATGTAGGGCATCGGCCCCTGTCCTGTCCAAGCGAGGAAAGATTCGCACACAATCCAATGCCAGTACCTTCTGCTTGAAGACTTGGACGCCGCTGAGGAATTGACTTTATGATCCTGTGGACTTCTAAACCCGCAAGCTGACACTCACCTCTGTTAAATGCCTAGCATAAGCTCCAGCAGCATCTACCGCGGTCCTCCGCAAGCCTTCTGATTCTGTCCGACAAGGCCGACCAGCTCATGCCCAAGGTAAGCAGCATAGGGCTTGGTTGCTTCAGCTTCTGCAGATGGCGACGCCCTTGCTTCGGTTCTTGCATAATGCACTTTCAGGACGTGTGTCAGGGATGGTCAGGGACTTGCAGTCTGTCTCGTGAAGCATTTCACAGCTTCCGCAGCGTCTGCCCGCTCAGCACTTTGGTCTAAGCCATTCCGTGCCACGCGCGTGCCGAGCCACGCCCCCTTCTGGGCCCATTTCAGATCTTCACTCTCAGGCTTTGAGCTTGTGTTCAAGATGGCAGCCTGATCTTGATGTCATGCGGCCGGACGGGGAACTGCCTAACTGCTACCAGCTTCCTCCTGTGTGGCTCAGCGTGCTGAACATCTGGCCATCCTGCACGTCTGCATACTTGGACTACGACAAGTGCCATGCATGGCTTGGGACAAGACGGCCGGCGTGTGATTTGCATGGAAAAAGCTCTTCAATGCACGCTTGCACTCAGGGGCCCCGCAGGTCCGGATCCGCCAAGGACCAAGATATACCTGGAGCTATCGCCACGACAACTCGACTTTCGCGCTCACCTTTCTTGGCTCGCACCCAGCTGACTTCTTGCCGTCCTTGAAGGACAGGCGTCCAAGAGCCTGCAGCCGAGTCTCCAGTGCTGTAAGTGCTGAGCAGCTCAAATCTAAAGGGAGCTCGTGTTAGTAAGCGCTCTTCCTCCACATTTCTCAGGCACCCTTGCCTATGCATGGTCTGGCCTCAACAATAAAACAAATCATGCCGAGCACACTGCGAACAGGACCTGTGCCTTTGACGCTCTTCAATTACTTTTGGTGAGGATGTTGACGGGCTTGCAAAAATGTGGCCGGCATCTTCACGTTCATAGTTTAGTGTTGCTTGCCGAGAGCTGGGCGCCACAGCCGAGAAGAACGAGCAACAAATACAGCAAGCCAGTGAGAGGGACGGTGCTGCATGAGGTAGGCGAGTAGCAGGGCGGGGTAAGAAAGTCAAACGAAGTAAGGTTTGGGATGTGAGATGCACATGCTTGTGTCCGACCGCCCAGAATTTACAGGCCTATCCAGGCACGGTCTACGGCCACCGCGTACATTAAGCAACTCCCAAGACAAAAATGCAAGGCCTGGAGCAGATAAGATGGGTCAATGTCCTTCCCGGCAACCAGAAGAGCATCTGGGCTGTCCTCACGCAACAGTGGAAAATCAACCTGGAAAATGAAATAGAAGCTACTATGCTAATATATATGGGGCTAGATAGCGTTGTATTATATGAGGGGCATGTAGGTGTAGATATGGGGATTCCCCCAAAATAAAGGTACCTTGTTGGGGGACCCCATAATGAGGACTATATAGTATATTGGGGTCTATATTGGGGTTCCCTATTTTGGGAAAATTACCAAACAGGGATGGCTATGAGCTGTCCTCAGACAAGGCAAACTTACAAAAACAAGCTCTGGGGCTCCTCTCCATTCTGAGCTCGGACCTGGCTATGTCAGATTCCAACGGCCCTATATAACTGTTGTTATGAAGTAGTAGTAGTAGTAGTAGTAGTAGTAGTAGGCGCCCCCCCCCCTACCAACTATGTTGGTTGATATTTTCACTAGCAGAGCTTTGGGGGGAAGGGGGGAGGGGCGGTGATACTTGCGTATAAACCCAGCTCCGCCAGTCAACTTCCCCCAAACTTAATGCCTTCCTTTAACTGCGCCAACTAAACAAGATCATGGAGTTT